GTGGTGCAATTGATAGAGCACCAGCCCTGGAGTCAGGAGGACCTAAGTTCAAATCTGGCCTCAGACACTTACTAGCTGTGTGACCCTGGGCAGGTCATTTAATACCGATTGCCTACAAAAAAGAAAAAGAACAAATTAAAGAAATACGTTCTTATTTAGGGTACACTTTGTGAGCTGAAGAAATAATGTCAGCATTTTTTGACAACAGGTGTAGCTCATGAGAGTTCTTCAAAGCTTCTGTACCTTTGGAAAAGGTTCCTCACCCTTGGAAAAATGGATCTTCAAAACAAATTCAGAGATTGCTATCCAGTACATTTCTACTGTGAATAATCTGTATGGGTGCCAGTTACCAGAAAAAAAAAATGCTACCTCAGTCACTTTGGAATTAGGGAAAGGCAGTGCTTGTGGTAAGTGGATACCTCTAATATACATACACACTAGTCATTCAGTCAACTGGTATTTATTAGGCAACTACTATATGCCAGTCACAATAATAGAAAACAATTGAGGTTTATAAACACACTTGTCAAAATAGGTTGTATGATTTGATTTTGAACTAAAACCAAGCATAAAGTGAAGAGATGTGCATGTCTCAAAAAGTTCCAACCCAAATTCTTCTTCCCTTGATCTTATTTAAAAATGTCTCTATTACTCCCTTCTTTCACATGCTACCAAGACAAATCCTTTTAGCAATAAGCAAAACAAATCAGTAGCCAGGTTGAGTTGATGTGATATCTTGGACACTTGAACTTCAGCTGATTTCATATCTTATTGAGTTATTATGTAGGTATTGATTATGGGCCCTAAAATAACATGCTTTCCTCATCTCCCTTAGTTTCCAAGATAATTTCAAAATTTTTAAAACTGTCTACTGGAATTTTTCCTAGGTTGTTTCTTTTTTTTCCTCTAGTCAAAAAAGTGCTGGGGAGATGGGGCATTGTGGAGGTGGAATATTACTAGACTATCCAAGCATAGTGTCAGTCTTAGTTAATTTATTAGGTAGTTTTGCTGAACTGCTTTTTTCCCCCTCTCTTATTTTTTTCTTTATTTCAAGAGATGGTTGTCTGAAGAGGTTCAGGGAAAGAATCTATTTGTAAATAAAGGTAATGTAAAAATAAAGTGTATAAATTTTAAAGTGCTAGACAAAGTTTCAATTATTCTCTTCTCAGAAGTAATCTCATAATATGTAACATAAAATCTGTATTTCCATTTCTTTGCTGTCTATAAAAATAAGCATGTACATAAAAAGAAATGACTGTAGTCACATAGCAAAAATATGCTTTTTGGCAGTCCTGTGAGTTTATACCTGTGGATTATAACAGCAAAAAATAATCCCTGGTTGTGTTCAGTACGAACTGGCCAAATGCATTTGCAAAATATCATTGAAGGGAAACAAAACTGTTATGTTATTTGATTGGTGTATACTGCCACTAGTAAGGGGGGGGGGAGGAAGTTCTACAGATAATAAACAAATGAATAAAAAGTCCCCAGTGGATATGAGACAGATTTGACAGAGTATTTTACTCCCCCCCCCCAAAAAAAACCTAATGCAAATCTGTTCTTTTGTTTAATTTTTTGAATCATGGGTTGAAATGTCAGTGATATTAATGGAGACTTTTACTGAGCTAGAACCTAAGAACATAGCTCATTATTATATTATTTATAATTTATATGTAGTCCCATTTGCCTAGTTTCAAAATTACAGGATGGGTTCCCTGGAGGATGGCTATCTCAAGATCAAAGTGCTCTATGGGACTATACCTGTAAACTATAGGTCATGAGCCCCTACCAATGTATTTACTTTTAGGAGTCAGTCAGAGGACACAACTCAAAGCAAAGGCATTTACTGAAATGACAGTGAGAAAAGTAGCAACTAAATATCTTCCCCATAAACCTGAGGCACATTCTCCCACAAATATACCCAACAGCAGTTAGGATGGATACATATAAAGGGGTAGAGAAACTGTAGGTAGAGGAAGAGAAGCATACATGAAGGGATCATGTATAACTGAGGCTTATACAAAGAAGGGTAATTCCTTTAATAGTGTTTCTATTGACTGTGGTCTTGAAGGCACCACTAGACCCGGCTCCCCTGGTCATTGTTGGGCATTGCTGGACATTGCTTAGTTGTAGTATTTACCAATTCCATCTTTGGCTGAGCTGAAATCCCTGGTACATTTGTGCCCTAAGTGAGACACTGCATAAGAAATATGTGGAATTTCTTCTTTCTTCTCTAAGGAGCACGATATGTTTCCTGCCTTCAAAGAATTTACAATCTAGTTGGAGACATTGCATTACTGTGTTTTATAGGGCATGAAGAAGCAGACATGTCCTAAGCTGGAGTCCTTAACCTGGGGTTCATGGACCAATGGATAAATTTCAGAGTGTGTGTGAACTTGAAGGGAAAAAAATACATCTTTATTTTAATTAATATTCTTTTGTAATGTTATATCTTTATTTTATGCATTTAAAAACATCTTTAGAAGGGATCCATGGGTTTCATCAGATTTTCAAAAGGATCCATCACACACAAACACACACACACACAAAGGGTTGGGGATCATGAAGGCTACAACCAAGAAATGCCCAGCAAAGACTAGTGGAACAAGTAAAAGGACTGCCTCATTCTCTGATAGTGGAACAAAGGAGTAAAGGATGGGTGAAAACAGTGAAGTTTTGGGAAATGGAGAAGGGTAAATGGAACTTATATTAGATAGCCCAAATCTTCTCAGGAAACTGAAGCCAAGACCACTGAGGTTGAACTCAGGTCCTCCTGACTCCAAGGCCAGAGCTCTATGCACTGAGCCACCTAAGAGTACTAAGCAAAGACCAACAATTTTGTTATTGACAGATATGCATTTTGTTGTTGAGTTGTTTCAGTTGTGTCCTACTCTTTGTAAACCCCATTTGGGTTTTTCTTTTTTGTTTTTCAAAGATATTGGAATAATTTGCTATTTCCTTCTGTATCCCATTTTACAGGTGAGGAAACTGAGGCAAATAGGGTTAAATGATTTGCCCAGGGTCACACAGGAGGAAGTGTCTGAGGCTGGATTTGAATTCACGAAGATGAGTTTTCCTAACTCCAGGCCAAGCACAAATTGACAATCAGGCATCAGGAAGGAATTACAAGGAATTTTTGGGCCAGGGACTCAGAGGGATCACTGTAGAAGGTAATCAAAAGCACTGACAATCCTAGCGTAAGGGCTTCTGCTTTTGTTGCTTACTTAAACTTATGTAGGGTTTATGTTAAGATCTAGGGCAATGATGTGGACAAAAAAGAAATTAACTTTATTTTTCAAGGGAGAGACTTACCAGCAAAACTCCAGCAGATGGTAGCAAAGAGTTGCAAATGGACACTGAATAACAGGCTGGCTGAGGGGTAGCAGATAGCAACTTGGTGATTCCCACAGTTAGAGACCAACACTTAGCAGAGATGATATAACAGGCAGCAGAGAGTGGAGATGCAGTATTCCGAGGAGATAGAAGCACACTAACATTATAAAAGCATATCTAAGGTTCTACAGCATGAGGGGTTTGAGTTGCCCTGGCCTCACGTGTCCTAATATCATCATCATCATCATCATCATCATCATCATCATCATCAACATCATCATCATCATCATCAACATCATCATCATTCTCCCTCTCTCTCTCTCTCTCTCTCTCTCTCTCTCTCTCTCTCTCTCTCTCGCCCTTTCCCCCTCTCTCCCCCCACCCCATGTATATTCTCTGGTCACATATGTTCTTTGGGTTTGTGCACTCTGCCGGGGTTGATGTAGTAACTTGTGGAAAAGAAAGGTCTTTTCTTACCACTTTATTTGCTTTGCTGTTTGATTAAAAGTCTTTTTTCTTTGAAGTAATATGACTTTTCTGTTTGGCTTAAGCATATTATTGGGGTCGTGTGAGTCATGGTCTTGAATGAGAGCTGACCCACTAAGTGCCTCATACCTGGGGTAGTTTTCTGGGTATCATGTGTAAGCTCCTCCCCTCCACCCCAATCTTAACAGTGATTTACCCAAAATCACACAGATAGGAAGTGGTCGAGCTTATATTTAAACCCAGGTCTCCCACAAGAGGAAAAGGATAAAACTTTGAACGTTCATTTCTCATACTTCAGAAATAGAGAAATGAGGAGGTGTCATAACTCAGGGTCTTCTCCGATTATTGAGGGTCTGTATCAGTTAATTCCGTGCTTGAACAAAGATATACCGCAATGAGGGTAGTACCCAGGAAAATAGGTGAGACCAAATGAGATTTAGGGATTCCCTTTATTTGAATTAGATTTACAAATCCACACTGTTAAGCAACACACAGAAGGTAAGCCACAGCAATGACCACGAAGGAGGGCAGTGAGGAGGAGCTTGCTGGTTCACTTTTGTAATAGGGCTTCTGATGGTGATTTTCCCTGAGTGTCACCTTTCCATTACCAAGTAGTGCAATATCACCCCGCCCCTACGAGTCCCCCTGCCCTCATCCTAAATTCACCTCCGCTGCCTCCTTCGCACAACCGGTTGCTCTCTTTGCATTCCTTAAAGGGACACTGCTTCGACATTCATATTTTTAACCTTGGTTCTGACACTTGCATTAAGGAAAGCATCCTCGGGAAGGCTGGAGGCGGGAGAAGGCGGGGGAGGTGGAGGTGGGGGGGGGTGTCAGCCCGGGTCACGTGAGAGGAAAAAGAGAAGAAGAGAGTGAGATTGGGAGCCCAAACTCGCCTCTGCTCCTGGGATGGCGGCCGCGGGGGCCAGACCGAGAGTAGGATGCCTCCCTCGGGCCCCTAAAATACCCAGGGACGCTCAGAAACGGTGCGCATGACGCAGATGCCACGACGGCCCCTTGGGCCCTCGGATCCGAGTGAGTGACAAGTGCTCCAGTGCCCAGTTGCGGGAGAGTGGCGTGCAGGAGAGTAGGGCAGCCTCCCACAGTTCGGCGGGTCGTGGACCGAGAGGTGCCCCTCCGGGCTCCGAAGCTGCTGCCCCTGCGCAGAGGCTGAGGAGCGCCTCTGGCCCCTGGAGCTGCCGCAGGGGAAAGATGAAGATCTGGAGCTCTGAGCACGTGTTTGGGTAAAGAGGGAGCCCTGGCTTGTGGAGGGGGGTGGGGTGCAGAGAGTGGCCAAGTTGGGGCCCGGGGAAGTTGGATCTCAAGAGATTCGGGAACCCGCGCCCGCCCGCCGTGAGTATCTGCGTGTGCGCTCAGCCGGCGTTTGCCCAGGGCTTTAGTGCTCCCTTCCCCCGAAAAAAATTAAGTATTAGTGAGCTGTCTCATGCCCTATGAGGGCATGCATTTCTCCCCGTTGCCGACCACATTAAGGATCTTGCATGTGATGTGCCTATAGTCAGAGCAGCTGCTTGGCAGTTAATTTTGAACGTTTGTCTTTTCGGGAGGGACAAGGCTTGGGGAAGAGGGGCTAGTGTTTTATTAATACTCCAAAAAGCAAATCCAGGGAATGAGAGGCCTAGTTCCCTCTTCATTTCAGTCCCATGATTGCAGCTTATTTGAAAATGATCTGGGGAAGACTTGGTTTAAGTAGGGCAGAATCCCAGATCTGACTTTCTTCAGAAAACGCTTGCCCACAACTTCAGTACCAAGGTCAAAGGATCTGTCAAGTAGTTCGTACTCCCCACTCCCTATCTGGGAAATGAATCAGATGAACCCACCCTTTACAGACGCAATAAATAAGCAAGGAAGCCAGTATTCATGATGCTAGATCATAATTCCTTATTACAATTTAGTGTTTCAGGTGATTTGGAAGGAAGAACAGTAATAATAATAATATTTATATAGTACCTACTATGAGCCAGACATTTTGTTAAGAACTTTGCAAATATTATCTTGATTTGATCCTCAAGGAGTAGAGAAATGGAGCAGGGGGTAGGAATGAAGATAGGAGAAGGAATGGTAAACTAGAAGAATGAAAGGAGGAAAAGAGGAAAGAAGATGTATCAGAAGATATGATAATTTGCCTTTGGAAATCAAATCTCACCAGTCATGAAACCTGAATACTGTGTTATGGTATTTCCTTAAAAGAGTAAGAATGTATAAATTGTCTGTTAAAGTTATGAGAAGCAATCCCATTTGTGATAGAAAGTGTATGAACTGGACCTCAGCAATAACATTCTTCTCAAAAAAGCTTTTGTTAAAAAATAAAACAAATGATTCTCTTTATAGCTTTTCTGCTTTACAGACTATTATAGTTACACTTAAATCATTTAAAAATCTAGGAAGTAATTCAATTTATGAAATATTTTCTAATCTATCACCTCTTACTTTGCTGAGAAAATTGAGACCACATATAGTGAGCTCCTTTTTCTTCTCTTCTTTTTATCTCAAAACCCCTTGACTTCATCCTACATTCTCTTTTCCTTTCTCCTAGTCTCTGATAATGAAGTGATTCTTGCCAGGGCCACCCCTTCATGTACCCTTGATATAATTTCTTTCTGTCTTCTCAAGCATATTTCCCCTTCAGCTGTTTCTTGACCCTGTATTAAATCTCTCCCTGTCTAGAGGATTCTTTTCCCCTATGACTATGACTCCCTCATCCTTTAAAAAAAAAACAAAACCTTCACCAGTCCATATCACCCACCTAAACTGTTATCCTATATCCCTCCTCTCTTTATCAGCAAATCCTATAAAGACCTACACTTCCTCGGCTCTCAGTAGACCATTTGAACCCTGGCTTCTGACCTAAATAATTCATAATTCAACTAAAATTGGGCTCTTCTAAAATTACCAGTGTTCTCTTGATTATCAAATCTGAAGCTCGTTTCTCAGTCTGTATTCTTTTGTTTTCTTTTATCTCATTACTACATAAAACTGTTGACCACACTGTTCTATGTTTTCATGACACTACTCTCTTCTGGTTCTCCTCCTACCTATCGGATCACTGTTAAATGTTCTGTTTCCTTTGCTGGATCATTATCCACACCATGCCCCTTATCTGTGGGTATTCCCCAAGGTTCTCTGCCTTGGACCCTTTTCTACTTCTATGCTCTTGGTGATCTCATCAGCTCCCATGAGTTCAACCATTATTTCTATGCACATGATTTCCAGATTTGCATATCTACCCCTACTCTCTACCTGTACCTAAAATCCCCCATCACCAACTATCTGTTGGATATTTTGAACTGAATATCCCATAAGATATCTCAAACTCAATATTACCTAAACAGAACTCATTATGCCCCCTCCACCCACCCCAAACACACAATCACACATATCATTCTTGTAGTCACTCAGATTTGCAACCTATGTGTTATCCTGAGCTCCTCACTCTCCTTCACCTCATGTATACAATTGGCTGCCAAATCTTATTTCCACCCTCTTACCTTTCCAATATTCTTACATCATGTACCAACTCCCACATACCCTGTGATCCAGTGACACTGGTCTTCTTACTGTTCCCTGAACAAGATACTCCATCTCCCAACTTTAGGCATTTCCACTGGCTGTTTTTCTCTTTCCTTCATGCCTGGAATGTTCTCGCTCATTTCTGCTTCCTAGATTCCCCGAATTCCTTCAATTCCCAGCTAAAATCCTGTAGTCTGTAAGAAGCCTCTCCCAATCATCTTAATTCTGAAGCCTTCCTTTTAAATTTTGTTCTGTGTGTATCTTATTAGTACCTAGTTATTTGCATGTTGTCTCCCCCATTAGATTGTTAGGTCCTTGAGAGCAGAGAGGTTTTTTCCCTTGCCTTTCTTTGTGTCTTTAACAAGGTGCTAACATAGTTGACATAGTAGACACTTAAATGTTTATTAATTGACTGTTTTAGGTTTCTCCCTACCCCAATCCATCCTCCATACATATTTTATATGTTTAAAAACATACACACATGTATGTATATATGGAAAATCTACATGTTATTCTTGTATACACATATATGTATGTATACACACATACACCCACATGTGTATTGCTTCCATTATTAGAATGAAAGTTCCTGGAAGGCACGGATTGTTTTGTTTTTTCTTTATAGTCTTTGTATTTCTTGTTATGTAAGCATAGTAAGTGCTGAATAAATGATTAGTGACTTCACCAGGTCCCTATATTTAATTATTATCACTATGCAGATGACACATAGATTTGTATCTCCATCTCCAATCTCTTTCTTGAGTTCCAGTCTTGCATGACCGACAGCCTGTTGGACATCTTACACTGGATATATCCTATAGGCATCTCAAATTCAACATGACTAAAACAGTACTGGCTATCTTTCCTCCTCAAATCTACCCTTCTGCCAAATTTTCCTGCTGTTATCAAGGGTACCATCATTCTTCCAGTCCCCTGTGTTAGTTATCTTGACATTATTCCAGACTCTTCACTCTCCCTCACCCTGTATATGCAGCCGTTTGCCAGATCTTGTCAGTTACTTCCACATCTCTCAGTATCAACACCTTTTCTCTACTCACAAATGCACCCACAGTTCAGGCCCTCATCACCTCTTGCCTAGACTATGCCAGTGACTTCTCAGCTTCTAGTCTCTCCCCGCTCTCATCCTTCTTCACACAGGTACCAAAGTGGTTTTTCTTAAGCAAAGATCTGACCAGTTCACTCCTCTACTCAGTAATTTCCAGTGGTTCCCTGTTGCCTGTTGGATAAAATATAAACCCCTTTGGGGGCATTTTAAGGTCTTCATAATCTATACATTGTTTGCCTTCCCAAGCTCTGTAGTCCAGCCAAACTGGCCTTCTTTCTGTTCCTCTCACATCGCGTTCCAACCCATTTCCATCCATTATGTCTTTGCATAGAGTCTTCCTCATACCTGGAATACTCATCTCCATCTCAAGAATCCCTCACTTCCTTCAAGAGGCAGTTTAAGCACCATCCTCTTATGAAGCCTTTCCTGATCCCTGCAACTGCCAGTACCCTCTTCCCTAACTACCTTATAATTAATTACTTTGTATTTTGTATCCCCAGCACTAAGCAGTGCCCAACACATAGTAGGTGTTTAATAAATGCTTATTTATTAACTGGCTTGTATTTATTTTGTGTTTCTTCTGTATACATAGATAAAAATGTGTGTATATGCATGTATAATATGTACATATATGTACATATCACTTTCTATGTCTACCTATGGAATGTAGGCTATTCAAGATTAAGAATTTTCTCTTTTTTTTGGTCTTTATATCCTCAGTAGCTAGCACAGTTCCTGACATAAAACCACTGAGTTTGATTGAGTGATTGATTGAGTTTAATTTTAGTTTAGTATGGATTTTGCTACACATCATGGAAGTATCTTAAATATTTGTCACAGGTATAAGTGATTTGTTAGTTATAAACAAAGTTACTATTGATGATTTCGAAAATTGTTTCAGCTGACTGTCTTGTCATTGAGTTCGGCTTTAGAACAAAAGCTAAATGGAGTTTGACAGGTATGCACTCAGCTGCGTATTAAGAACTATCATTTATGTTCTGTTCTATAAGACTGTTTTATGAATGACATAATGCTGTCCAGCATCATTTTCTATATGACAGTAAAAACTAAAAGTACAACTTTCTGGTTGTGTTCATGGGAGATATTTTGGTCTACTAACAGTCCTCAGTTTTCTCTCTCTAAGATTATAGGTATTTCTTTGTTCTAGTTTTTCTGGAATTTTTCTCTTCATGTTTTTGTTAGATTATTATAAAGACATTTGACTGGTACTTGATAAGCTTACTCTGAAGGAAAAGAGAAAAAAAGATTAGATTTAAAGAAATTGGATATGGTCAGGTGTCCTTGTTGGCATTCATATTCATGTGAAAAGCCCATGGGACCTGGAAATCATATCCAAGTATAACCTGAAAAGTAAGTCTTGATAAAAATCGAGAACCTTTTAGAAAAGCTAACTGACAAGAGCAGTCATCTCACCATGTTTTGAGATGGTTAAGCATTTTTTAAATGGCAGACTTTCCTTGCTAATTTCATCCTGTAAACATTATAATTCAAATCGTACCAATGAAGATTATAACCTGCATATGCTTTAGATAAATCCCAGGGACAAGGTACATAGAAGTTTGGTGATTTGAGAAGAGATACCAACCCCTTGTTCGTATCAGAAATAGGATCTGAACCTGGATCTTTCTG